TTAACGTTTACATATATTATTAACTACATTATATGCATATTTACTTTGTTGAAAAAAACTTTATAAGTAATAGTAAAATCTTAAACATTTTATCCTACGCCCATGGCCTCAAGTGTTCTAAACCTGTATGAATTTCTTTGTTCTCCTCAACATAAAAGAAGATATTTTGAATAATGTTCATAACCGGAAAGTTTCTGGTCCCCATTGACTCCAATAGTGTAGCTGTTTTTTATTTATTTATTCATACAATGGAAGTCAATGGGGCCCAGAAACTGTTTGGTTACCAGTGTTCCAAATATATTATTTTGCATTCAACAGCAGAAGGAAACTCATGCAGGTTTAGAACAACAACAGAATTTTCATTTTTGTGTGAACTATTTCTCTAAAGTATAGCCTAATATAGCTGCTGTTGCCATTTGTGTGAATAACGTAAATCAAACATCAGAAAGAAAATCACTCACGGTCCTTGACTGAATCACTTTTGCAAAATAAATAAGAATGAATGTATATTGAATTTATACAGTGAAGACTATACAGTCCATTTGTACGTTTAGGATGAGTAGGTCGATTTCTTATGTTTCTTTGTTCTGTTGTAATTTGTGACTGTTTACTTGTCTTCAGTAAGCTTGTTTTTACTTAGGCTAGTGCTATTATTATTATTTTGTGATATTGAAATTGGTAACAAGAATTATTACATTTCAGTGCAGCAAAAATTTAGATAGGATAAAAATCCTATTTAAAGCTATATATATCATTAATGTGATGGGGGGGCCCTGCAGTAAGTCTTATTTTGGTATTATTATTATTATTATTATTATTATCATGATAATATTGTATGGTCATGTGACCTTTGATTTTTTTTAAATAATGTGTATCCTTGGAAATGAAAAAACAAACATGTTTACGATATTTGTGTAATAGAAATATAAAATAGAACAGTAACTAAAGCATGATCAGTTGTAATAATAAACAAAAAGGATAAATTAATTACAATGTACGAAATTAAAGGAGGAATTTCAATAATTGTAGACACTGACTGACTGAAGACGCCAAAGCTGTAATGTGATTGGTTTAAAAGGCACACGTGATCCACGGTGACCATTACACATTCTCCAAAGGTGGAGCCTCTAAGGATGGGATCTCCTTACATAATAGCATCTCTGTACAGTCTGTATACAAAGTATGGAAAGCCGTTTTAACATTTTAATCTATAAACCGTACTAGTATCTATTTTCATGATACTAGTACTTATTTTTTAGATACTAGTATCTTTTCCATTAAGTTTTAGTACTTATTCATTACTTATTATACATACTTATTCACTAGTGCTTATTCTTTAGCTACTAGTGTTTATTCTTTAGGTACTAGTGTCTTTTGTAAAGTTACTAGTACTTATTAATTAGATACTAGTTCTTATTTATTTGATACTAGTACTTATTCCAATAGTGACTAGTATTTATTTATACTCTTCTTGTTAAGAAAAAATAGAACTAGTACTTATTTTTTAGTTACTAGTAACTTTTTAGACCAGAGATATCCTGAACTTAATAGATACAAGTACTTTTTAAATTTACATTTCTGCCCAGCATTTCTGCCCAGTACATAGGAGAGAGATTAGACAGGAAACAGAAACTATTAAGGAGATTAATGTACTTTTTGAGGAAATCACATAGAAAAGAAACAATTATTTGTACACAAGCACATAGAAAACATATTTTTGTCAGTTTTGTAAACACTGTAATTTCATAAACATAGCCTAATGTGTTAGTTGGCCATCGAGTGGCAGGATGGCAGGATGGCGATAAGACACCAATTTTATTATCTGTTATTCTCCTATTTTTCCTCCAGTAAAAACAATAAATATGATACCAGGGCTGTGCGTTAACTTTTTTTTTTTTTTGCATATAGCACTGGTTCTACAGACATTGAATGTTTTTACATTAATATTCTGTACAGGACACACAAAATCCAAACCTTAGGGGTTTCAGACAAACATTTTTTTTATTTGGAAAAAAGGCCAAAAAGTTATTATTATTATTAATAATAATAATAAACACCAGGTTTGCTGTACTTGTAGGGCTGTACAATTTGGCTAAAATTTTGTTTTTATATATCAATATAACGATTATGGTTATTATTTCTAAATAAAAACATTTAACAAAATAAGGAATATTACTTTTGTAATAACACTATTTCATTATAATATACAAAACTGAGTATTTAAGAATAAATATAATAATAAATATAACTACAAGAAAAATACATTTTTTTACACTTCTCCACCCTGGAGAAAAAAGTAAGGATTTGCAAATGTTTACCTTAATTATTTTGGCTATTTTTACCCAAATTAGGGGTTTGTGAGCAATATTGAGTACTCAATTAATGTAATTTATTTTTCATTCATACTCGTAGCAAGAGGGTGCCCTTGCGTAGAAACTCCACAAGTGAGACTCACTGATGATGTTCCAGGAAATCCCTTAAATGGACAAAGACATTCAGCTTGCTCATAGATGAAGTAGCTAAATAACATGCAGATAGACGTTTTACTGATGAAACACAAAGAAAATAAACAATGACTGCAACAATATATGGTTTTACCTGTGCTCTTCAGGCCATCTCGGGTATTTTTATAAGAATAAAGTATATTTAAAATGCAATTCCAATCGACATTTATCATTGTATAGAATAATATAAAGTGGCATGATTTCTGCCTCATTCTGTTTAATGAAACCATGTCAGATTACAAAAATAAGTTATTTCAAAGACTCGATGTTGTGAAGTGAATTTGGACTAAAACATATCATTATACTTTTGTTGGACAACAGGTTTGTAATCTTTCCTTGTGTTTTCATGGAAAACCAATTAGCAAGATAGGCTAACATATAAAGCCAGTTAGCCTTACTTAACAATCAAATTAATTCAGCATATTAGTTTATTGTATTACCATGTGGACTCTGATTGGACGGTGGAGAGGTACTCGTGTTTATGTAATGATCTGTTTAAATGAAGATATCTCCAAATACATTCTTACTAGTTCTTAAGGATGTTGAAGATATCTTCAAATGAACAAGGAGTCATAGTTATTCTGTTTTTGATATCATCTTTTAATTTCTGACTAGTAATTATTGCAATAGTCACTAGTATCTATTTAAATACTAGTAAGTATTCATTAGATACTAGTACTTATTTTTTAGATACTGGTACTCATTCATTAGATACTAGTACATATTTAATAGATACTAGTAGTTATTCATTAGGTATACAAAATATTACAAAAGATACTAGTGTCTAATAAATAAGTACTAGTATACTAGTACTTATTTATTAGACACTATCTTTTGTAATTATTACTAGTAACAATTCTTATCTTACTACTCAGATCTGCCTTTTTACTCATCTTATGTTATGATAAGTCCAAATGGCTACAGTAGAGTTTAATTAAAAAATTTACTAGTAAAATAAATAAATCTTATTAGTAACATTTTGAATTAGTACTATCTAATAAATGTGTGCTAGTATCTATTGAATATGTGCTAGTATCTATTTAACAGGTACTAGTATCTAATGAATGAGTACTAGTATCTAAAAAATAAGTACTAGTGTCTATTTAATAGGTACTAGTATCTAATGAATGAGTACTAGTATCTAAAAAAGATGTACTAGTACCTAATGAATAACTACTAGTACATAAAAATTAAGTACTAGTCACTAGTGGAATACATACTAGTCAAAACTGAATAGTTGATATCTCAATAACGGATCCCCATAGAAGTCAATGGCAAAAATGTAAAATTAGTTACTAGTAACAATATAATAGTTACTAGTCACTATTGAAATAAGTATAGTATCTAATGAATAAGTACTAGTATCTAATGAATAAATACTAGTATCTAATAAATATGTACTAGTATCTAATCAATAAGTACTAGTATCTAATCAATAAGTACTTGTATTTAATCAATAAGTACTAGTGTCTAATAAATAAGTTCTAGTACCTAATGAATAAGTACTAGTATCTAATGAATAAATACTAGTATCTAATGAATAAATACTAGTATATAATAAATAAGTACTAGTATCTAATAAATAAGTTCCAGTATCTAATGAATAAATACTAGTATCTAATGAATAAATACTAGCATCTAATAAATAAGTACTAGTATCTAATAAATAAGTTCTAGTACCTAACGAATAAGTACTAGTATCTAATGAATACGTACTAGTACCTAATAAATAAGCACCTAGTATCTTATAAATAAGTACTAGTATCTAATAAATAAGTTCTAGTATCTAATGAATAAATACTAGTATCTAATAAATAAGTACTAGTATCTAATAAATAAGTTCTAGTATCTAATGAATAAATACTAGTATCTAATAAATAAGTACTAGTATCTAATAAATAAGTACTAGTATCTAATCAATAAGTACTAGTATCTAATCAATAAGTTATAGTACCTAATGAATAAGTACTAGTATCTAATGAATAAGTACTAGTATCTAATTAATAAATACTAGTATCTAATAAATAAGTTCTAGTATCTAATGAATACGTACTAGTACCTAATAAATAAGCACTAGTATCTAATAAATAAGTTCTAGTATCTAATGAATAAGTATTAGTATCTAATGATTACGTACTAGTATCTAATGAACAAGTACTAGTAACTTTACAAAGACACTAGTACCTAAAGAATATAGTACCTAAATAATAAGCACTAGTAGTTAATGGAAAATATACTAGTATCTAAAATTAAAAAAATCTTAAATTAGATACTAATGCGGTTTATAGATTAAATGTTAAGACGGCTTGCCATATACAAAGACGGTTCACACGCATTACTGTGAATGAGATTAACTGCAACGTGGGATAAATCGGAATACGTCCCGCCTTCTACATGTAAGAGCCAATCACGAACTGGTTAATTACACGCGTCATCGCAGCTGCATTTAAAATATCAGGTTTCCATAGAAACAACCAGTGTCCTGAGAAGCACGCTTAGCAGTGCGCATGCGCACTGACCGGACCGACCGGAAACTTACGCCTGTACCGCTATCTGAGCAGAGGAAACAATATATCGGGCGGCGCATGTCACATTGTATTGCAGATTAGAAATATGTTACTTAAATGAATTTAGCAAACAGTTCTTGGCATTTCGGTAGCAGATAGGAGTTGATTTTGCATGAGCAAAACAGCGGCCCGGAGGCCATGAAAATATGGTCACCGACTGAACTGAGTTCACAAGAAACGGACTTTAACTACAGTGACACCAGAGAGCAGGTACATCTTCGATTTCATCAATTACTAACAGAATTCATACACGCTCGTTCATGCATTTGATGGTCTGCTCGTTTCAAACACTTCGAGGGCTGTTTATCACAATTTGAGATCCAGAAGAGTTTATAAAGTTCATTTTATTGAGTATTAAGTGGTTTCATTCATGCATGGTGGCCTTATCTTTCATTGATGAAAGTGACATTTGATTCTAAAGCATGCAAATCCAGCATGTGTTTGCATATTTCTTGTGTGTTTTGTGGTCATGCTCTACTGCATAACCTCACACCTCAAACTGATGCGTTGTCATATTGAAATAAAGGGTGTGTTGGTGTTTAACTTGATATCCTTGGACAGATTCAGCTGTATGCGGTGCATTGTGAAAAATACTGTTGTGCTGCTATGGAACATCAATGAAATCTGACTTATCAGATGACAATACCATGACACTGTTTAAAAAGAGAATACAGTAACAAAGAAGTGCCGCTCTATTGCCAATGCTATTAAACATATTATGGAGAACCGTGGTAATGCCATGTTTTTATGGACTTTACATTGATAGTATAATCATGTGAATGTGTGAATATGAATACCATGGTATTACCACAGTAAGAGTGTATAGATGAATGCATAGATAGCATATATATATACCCCCTGAAATGAACATCAGACCTTCTCTCTCTCTCTCTCTGTCAGATGGACGGGTCGGTCGGGCCGATGCGAGTGTTGGTGACGGGTGGCAGTGGGCTGGTGGGGCGAGCGATAGAGCGGGTGGTGAAAAAGGAGGGCGAAGAGAGAGAAGGAGAAGAATGGATATTCCTGTCATCCAAAGAGGCCAATCTTATGTAAGAGCTCCTGGACAAACACTAATCAGACGTCACAACAGTTATAAAGCACAATGATTAAACTTTTATCACATATTATAAAGCATGTATTTGATGTTTTGTAAGCGAATGTTATGCAAGTAATAACAATAATGACCTGTTGACACCAAGAACGATGACTGTAACTTTACACCAACTTTTTATAAGCGTAGTTCACTGTAGTTCTAAATGCCAATCATTATTACGTATTTGGGTGTTTAGCGACCCAGAATGTGTATCTAACATGGATGGATCTCGAAACTTCCCCAATGTTATAAAACTGTCCTGATATTTTAATACCAATTACCGTATTGGCCCGAATATAAGACGACCCTGATTATAAGATGACCCACGTTTTTCCAGATGTAGCTTTTGGAAAAAGGCTTTTTGAAAACCAAATCTTGTTTTTTTTTCTCAGGAAAACACATTTTGTCTTCAATTATTTTCATATTGCATATTTTTCCTATTTTAATTTTTGTTTTGAAAGTATGGTAAAAACTGGTCAAATGTACCAACAATCGACCGTTACTGAGCTCTTTTTCGCACCTCATTACCTTTTAAAATCGAGCACGTCCCGCTCTTTATATTTTCTCATCCATCCATTCATTTATTGATCACTTTAACGTGCCAAAATTTTAAGCAGTCCTGCGCTGCGCGGATATACACATATATTTCGATAGACTTTTTATAACGTCATTTCGCCTACCTGACCTGCGTGTTTATCTTTCTGTGCTTCTTGATCTTGCCCTGTGCTTATTTGCATATTGCGGACACAAAAATGGAAAAATCCGCCATTTCATACTATCGCAACGACATATTGCCATACTGTCGTGTAATAAAGCCATCAGTCCAACGTTTGGACACACGTGACTGAATTTCAGTTTCTTAGGATTACAGAAATCTTTTATTTAATGCTTATTGTCCGTTTGTATCCCATGCATGATAAATATATTTACACGTGCTGCTTTAGGAGCGCTGAAGAGACGAGAGCAGCCTTCGAGAAACATCGTCCCACGCACGTCATTCATTTGGCCGCCATGGTGGGCGGGCTCTTCAGAAACATGAGACAGAACCTGGACTTCTGGGTAATTATTAACATTAAAAAACAATGGAAATATAAAAATGGTTGACATATATTAGTGTTGAATAATTAAACTGTATATTAACCATATTTGTTTGTTGTTTTCAGAGGAATAATGTGTTTATCAATGACAATGTGCTGCAGGCGGCTCATGAGTTCGGTGTGGTAAAGGTCGTTTCTTGCCTTTCCACGTGTATCTTTCCAGATAAAACCACCTACCCTATAGATGAGACCATGGTAAATTCTCACACACACACACACACACACACACACACACACACATACACACTCACATGTTGGTATTGGTGGTTTACGGGAACTCTCCATAGGCGTAATGGTTTTTATATTGTACAAACTGTATTTTCTTTCACCCTACACTTAAACCTACCCCTCACAGAAAACTTTCTGCATTTTTAGATTTTCAAAAAAAACAACATTTAATTTTTTTTAAGCCTTTTGAATTACAGGGACACCGACTGTGTCCTCATAAACCACCTTCACATTGTAATTCCTGTGTCATTCCCATGTCATTATACAAGTGTGTGTCCTCATAAACCACCCAAACCAGTGCACACACACACACACACACACATGCATTTTAATAGGCAGATATTCGGATGGTTTGTGTGTAGTGTTCTCTTAAAGGGCAAATTTTCCTTGATTATTTATCAATTCAAAAAAATACTGTAACTTTCAAAACACCAGTGTTGGGGAAAGTTACTTTTAAAAGTAATGCATTACAATATTGCGTTACTCCCTAAAAAAGTAACTAATTACGTTACTTGGTTACTTTTTATGGAAAGTAATGCGTTACATTACTTTTGCGTTACTTTCGCGTTACTTTTTAAATATAAGCAGGGCTTGATTGTTTTTAATATAAGAAGTTTTATTTATAGCAAAAGTAAAAGCCCTTTCACACCAAAAAGTGTAATGAATAAACCTCAGGCTGAAGGAAAAGTAAATTCACGTCTGTACAGTAGAACACAAGAGAAGAAACACTCTTCAGCAATAAAAAAACAATGAAGCAAAATTGTTAGTTTATCTAAAGTCATTTGTGCTTATTAGTACGGTTGAACTGGATCATCAAAGGCCAGCAGCAAAGACATTGGTTAATAGAATGGGATTAGATACATTTGTGCTATTTAACATATTTAATTATTACAGGTCATATTCTGAGTTTGCATTTCACTGTTATAATTCATTTTAATGAATACTAAATCTGTTTTTTGTGAGTGGGATGAATTAATGCACATTCATATTTAGTCTAGAACTACAGTAGCATCATGTTCACACAGCGCACACAACGCCTCTGTACTCCCCATTTCTCCCAATATGGGGACAGCAGAGCTGTCAGTCAATAAATGGGAAAACAAAGTAACTGGCATTACTTTTTTGAAAAAGTAACTCCGATATTTTCTTGTAAATCAAAAAAGTAATGCATTACTTTACTAGTTACTTGAAAAAAGTAATCTGATTACGTAGCTCGCGTTACTTGTAACACTGCAAAACACAAACTCAAAACATTAGAAAACCAGTAGATCATGTTTATTTTAACAAGATCATCAGTTTCAATTGTTTTATGATTTGAAAGAGATGATGAGCCGTGTTTCTCTCTCACTCTGTTTCAGATCCACAACGGTCCGCCTCATGAGTCTAATTTTGGTTATGCTTTCGCCAAACGCATGATTGATGTCCAGAACAGGTCAGTGTCAAAGTTCATTGGTCATGAGTTTTATCCCGTTAAAGCTCGTCTCGATCACATTTCAAAAGAGAAAAAAATAACATTCCATTTAATCATCACCTCATTATGGGATTTAAACATTTTCAATTCATAATTTAATTACCGCAGTACATCCAAGCTATTTATTTATTCTCAGTGGTGAATTTCAGTATAGGGATTATGAAATGCATTTTTAAAATAATTTTATGTTTCCTGAGGTGTGCTTATAATTGCGCTTAATAATAGTATCGTTTTTTAAAACAAAAATGGGCATGATTTAGATATAAATGGTCGTTTTCAACACTGAATTTGAACGCTGCGTTGGAAGGGGCGTGTCTGCTGTGAGACTCAATGTAAACGCCCACTGCTGTGATTGGCTAACATCTTTGCATATGAAATGAGCATTACATATGATGTACATATGTGTTTTTACTATAACAGCTGCCAAGATGAACTAATGGTGAAAAGTGTTGATTTTAAGTGTTTATTATATGATCTCCTTATTCAGGGTTTCCGCAGGTCCTTAAAAAGTCTTACATTTAGTTGTATCAAATTTAAGGCCATAAAAAGTCTTAAATGGAACAAGAAAGTCTTAATTATGATTTCAAGAGGTTTTCAATTTGGGTACAAGAAAGACAAGAATTGCGATTATGGCTGTATGTGACGATTAAATTTGAAAAGGCTATGAATTTATTAAAGCAACACCATGTAACTTTTGCTCACAGTTCTTCCATGTGGTTGATAGATTAAGTTCAAGTTCATTTATTTATAAAGCGCATTTAAAAACAGCCACAAGACTGACCAAAGTGCTGTACATTAAAATCAAACCATAAACCCATAAAACAGAAATAATAAAACGTATGAATTTTAAACCAAAAGGAATGACAGATAAACATTCTGAACACTTGTAATAATCAAGACCATAATACAATGTAATAAGAATTAGATATTAGTATGCATAGTTCGTATGTAGCATTGTTTGCAAAAGGTGTAATTTGTATAATAGAATAAAATGTTGTCTGCATAACCATATAGCCATAATGTCCATAATAGCCTATACATCGGACATTGTCATAAGTTTATAAGGCTGTAAAGTAACAGAACCTCTTTATTTGAATAACCGTTCAGACGTGAAGTAGACTGTCCGATATTGATTCGTGAAATCATTTTAGAGACATTATTTTAAGGTCGAAAAACTACAAAGTGTTGCTTTAAATAAACATGAGCGCTGCATGTTTCAAAGTTGTGTTCTGCTGTTACCGGAGAAACCGCTGTATTTCTGCCGCTTAAAAAGCGCCTCCTGCTGGTAGTTACTGTTTTTGATCGGACCAATGGGAAAATCAACCCATGTTTTACGCTGTAAATGTGAACTGGTGGATCAACAAGAAGATAATGCATTATATAAATGTAAACAATTAAGACAGTAAAATATATTTAATTAATAGTTGATTGATAATAGTTGTTTACATTAATAATTGATCGTTTTCCCTTATGAAAATTAACCCGTTTTTAATTTTTTTTTAGCATTTTGACTGCCATTTGTATAACCATAGTTTTACTAAAAAATACCAGGGTTAAACTATGGTTAGTGTCAGTGGTGGAAATGGCCTAAATTCACTGGGGGAACTCTTAAGTTGGGGTAACTTTTAGACAAACATTCAGATGTATTTAATTATAGAAACCTTTATAGTCTATAACATTAAACTTACTTCATGTTTCCTCTAAACCATAGGATTTTTAGGTATCAAGATCAAAGGCACCCTGTGTAATTATATTTATAAACCTTTCTCTTTTTTTTTATTATTACAATACATTCAGCTAGTATAAGAAGACACAATCAGGAAGCATAAGTTACCAATCAAAATAAATCAATATATATAAAAATCTTTGCACTACAGAGGTGGCACACAAGAACACAAAAGTGGCATTTAGGTATATTTACAGACTGTTTAATTAGGCTCAAAGGTAGCATGAAAGCATTTAAATTCATAATAACAATTTTATGTGATGAATGTTTTAAAACATAGGACTTCAACCCTGCTCCTGGGGACCCACTGTCCTGCAGAGTTCAGCTCCAACCCTAATCAAACACACCTGAACCAGATAATCAAGATCTTACTTGACTTACAAGGTATTACTTGAAAAGTCGCTGGCCAGGTGTGCTGAAGCAGGTTGGAAATAATCTTTGCAGGACAGTGGGTCCCCAGGTACAGGGTTGAAGACCTGTGTTTTAAATATAAAGTTATGAATATAGAGATTCAATTATTTAAATCGGTGGCGGCAAGTCAGTGTCTTTGTCACTAAATCATTCATTCAGTCGATTTGTTCAAACAACTGATTAATTCAGGAACGAAGTGACTGTTCAAAAAGAGTTATTCCAAAATTATTATTATTATATATTGTGCTACGTTTATGTGCGTAGGCTATTGAATGAATAAAACATAGAAATCCCTTTCGTTTCCAAAAAATTCTAACCAGTTGGAGCTGGAACGTCGTCACCCCTCGAAATTCACTCCCTGGACTCCGTCCCCCACGTTCCCCCTCATTTCCAGCCCTGGTTAGTGAAGCAAAACCATGGTTAATTTGTGGTTACCATGGATTAACTATAGTAACCATGTTTTTTTTTTTCCATTTTGCATCTCGTTTCGAAACTAAATCATCCGCGATCGTCTCGTCTGTCTCGCCTCACTCTTCTCGTCTGTCTCGCCTCGCCTCACTCGTCTCGTCTGTCTCGCCTCACTCTTCTCGTCTGTCTCGCCTCACTCTTCTCGTCTGTCTCGCCTCGCCTCACTCTTCTCGTCTGTCTCAACTCGCCTCGCTCTTCTTGTCAGTCAGCTGGACTCGCCCTCCTCACTAGAGAAATGAAATCTGATCTGTGATGCAACTGTTTTTTTTTTCCATTTTCTTAAAAATGGTTTAAAGGCTGAGATGTGAAGTAGGGTTGTGTCGGTGAGGAAATTTTCCCACCGGTTAATCGACATGAGACAACACCGGTAATACCGGTATCACGCAGGGGCGGGCGTTCTCTCTTTTCCTCGCTTTCCTTTGCTTTTAAATAGCTTGTAAAAGCAATGTGCCCATTTTACTTTCACTCTCAAATAGCGGCAATTCGGAGTAAAGCAATTGTTTGTTTTTAGTTCGTTTGAATTTTCCCTTTTTTCCTCACTTTCCTTCGAATTAGCGACAGTTAGGCGTCAATTGCTTGAATGCAACAACAAAATGCAACGTCAAACTCACTTTAGCGTATATATAAAACATAGAACTTTTATTAACAAAACAAATAAAAATACACCATGCTATAGGGCAGTCTATGCCTAATATAAAATAACAAATAACTTACAAAGTTTAATAGGTATACAAAACTGGAAATAAGTAAACATGTATAATATATAACCAAATAAATAAGAAACGTAGAACATTTATTAGCAAAATGAATGTCAAATAAAATAAATGACAAAGTTTAAATAATGTAAAAATCAGAAAACAATGTGGAACCAATTAAATAAGAAACAAATGTTTAAAAAACTTCTAAAATCAGCTTAGATAAATGGAAAAAGTCAACAGGCTTTTCAAAATCCAAAATATTACCAAACAGGCGCTTTTGCATCTCGTTTCGATACTAAATCATCCGCGATCGTCTCGTCTGTCTCGCCTCACTCTTCTCGTCTGTCTCGCCTCGCCTCACTCTTCTCGTCTGTCTCAACTCATCTGCCTCGCTCTTCTTGTCAGTCAGCTGGACTCGCCCTCCTCACTGGAGAAATGAAATCTGATCTGTGATGCAACTGTCATTCGGCACGCTGCATTGAGCAGCCGCGTTCAGTTTTTAATTGTAGTGTCTGTTCTTTTACTGAACTAAATTATTTTTATTACTATAAAAAAATCAAAACGATGGTGGGGGTCAGTGACACGGTGGGCAAGTGACGTAACCGGTGTTGCGGCTTAACACCGGTCGGTATCACCGTCTATCGCGGCAAGCCTAATGTGAAGGTCATGATCATTAAACTTTTTGTTTTTGTGAAAACCTGTATCTGAACTGTAAATCATGCTTTTTACAATCATTTTACAGTTTAATGTTACCATAGATCAGTGTTTCTCAACTGGTGGGTCACGACCCAAAAGTGGGTCGCAAGATTGTTCTGAGTGGGTCGCGGAGTGTACAGTCAAAGAAACAACAAAAAACGTCATTCTAAAAGTTTTTCTGATGTGAGACTTTTATTTTGAAAGATGTGCGTGAAAACAAAAATAAATAAGAGAGTTTAAACTGTCATTTATCATATTGGAAGTTTTGGCCAAAATGCTGAAATCAAATCACTGATAGATCCGTGCTGCTCATGCAAATTCCCTTGATCTTTTGACCGATAAGAAGTCATTGTACTATAAAAACATCCTGTAAGTTTCAGACCTCAAAACTTTCTCGTTAGTCTAAAAACAGCTTATATTGCAGCCAATCTGCCAAAACGACAGCTTGTGGAATGAGCCACTTTATGACGTAATAGTGTGGCTAAACTCCGCCTCTGCAGAAGATCATCACTGCCTGTTTAGCTCCGCCCACCGATTCTACAGCACTGTTGATCTCCGCCCACCGATTCTACAGCACTGTCTGTTTAGCTCCGCCCATCAATTCTACATCACTGCCTGTTTAGCTCCGCCCACCGATTCTACATCACTGCCTGTTTAGCTCCGCCCACCGATTCTACATCACTGCCTGTTTAGCCCCGCCCATCAATTCTACATCACTGCCTGTTTAGCTCCGCCCACCGATTCTACATCACTGCCTGTTTAGCCCCGCCCGAAGGTCTAAGCAGGAACCAAACGATAAAGATGCTCCGAAGACGCTATTCAGAGCCACGCTGTGGAAAAACAGTCTTTGCATCACCTTCCTTCTGATCCCAACATTAGGAAAGAGTGGATGAACTTTATTTTTAATGAAGATCCAGACCGCGTCAGTAAGAACTTGGTCTTTTTACCGTGGATTAGTTTAC